TGATAATGTTCTGCAATTTCAAATCTCAGAAACATCCAAGGACCACTGGAGTAATTCCCCAGAAATGTAAAAACATGAACAAGTCTTCCAGGCAAATGGGTGTCTGTTCTGATATGTCTAGATAGTCTCCTGTAGCATTCCTAGGGAGCTGATTTCAGCTGATATTGAGATATGTTTATCAACATCCTCCTGAATGTTGCAGATTTTATGCAATACACGAGCATCTGAAATCCTGCTGAGCCTAACCTCTGCTACAGTACTGTGCTATGCTTCACTTTTCAACAGGTCCCATATTTTAGAATTTTCTAAGCATGTGTCATCAGGATATGTCCACTCTGGCTTTGGTTTTCATATGCATTCTTCTGCAATCCAAAAGATTGGGGAAAATAGTTGGAACAGTATCACATTATTTAGCCAGGTGCTTATAAACCTGTTCCAAGAGCTGGAAAAAATTCTGAGCATGCTGAGCATAAACTCAATAGAAGAAACTATGTAATTACTGAGCAAAACTTTAAGGAAATAATATGGTGTGACCTAGACTTAGGAAAATAAAAATGAATATACTCTTCAGCTCAGATACAGCATATACTTTGGACAAAGTCTTCACTTATAATTCTACTTTCTATCTGCATTCTTATACTAACATAAGATAAGATTCTGATATATTTTTCCTCTATATTCATATATTTGCAATGTAATATCAGATTTGAGTTTCTGAAACTTTCCTTTATCATCTCCTTGCATACATAAATCCAGTACAGAATCCCACACCTTTGCTAGTGGCAACCCTATTGCCAGAAACTGTGTTCCTTCATGGATGGATGCCAGAAAGCCTAACCCACATTCCAACTGTCTATTTTTTAATTTTACATGTATACATATTACATTCCCAGGTTCTTCCAAACACACTGCTAGCATATCAGAAAGTAATTAAGCAAATGTTGAAACAATGTAAACTTAAAATCATTAATAATTTTTATTAATTTGTTTCCTAACTGCAGTTTAAAATACATCAACTGTTATGTAAAAAGATACATCCAAAGATAATCAATTATATTCAAATACACTCTAAATTAACACCTGAGTGTTAAACAATGAATGTAAGAGATGAAAACTTGCTTTGATACCAAATATATAACCTGTGTAAATAAACTTCATTAAATAATATTAGCAGTAATTAAAAAACTCAACAACTGAATTAGGCAGCCCTCTATACACAGTTGTACTCATGCCTGGCTTTTTCACTTGGTAAGGCATTGTCCAAATGGGATTCAGATTGACTGTGCTCTTTCCAAAACTGAAAATTTTTCTTTTAAATTTTCCTTCTTTCCTACTCCATCTATGAATGCTATATGATACAGCTGATCAATTCACTGAAGAACTTTTACTCTTGCTTTGTCAGAAATCTATACACAGCTGATAATTGATGTTTACCAAATTCCAGGATGGAAGTACAGCTTACTGTTTGCTAAAAGAGTTATCGCAGAACTTCTTACTTAATCTTAGTTATTTATTCATTGTTTGAAAGAATACTGCCTTGCAAATCCTATGCCTACAGGCAATTAATACACCCATGCTTAAAGTGGAGAAACAGAATGTACTGGTAGATTTAGAATCCCAGTATTTTAGTATTTCAAAAGCAAAAATATTATCAGAAGCAGTCATTTTCAGGAAAAATGAAGGTGGTGAATTTCATTAAAATGTTCAATTTGAATGAACCTCCAGCCATGCTGTGAAACAGCTTTGAGCTGGGAGGGGTCTCTCAATGTTGGGATACGAGATACTCATCTGTAAAGCACAATCATACAACTTCTCCCTCCCCTCCCCCCCGAACTCCTTAAGTATACTGTCATTGTGGAAATGTCAAAATTATTTTTTCTGAGCCTCATGCCTTTACGGGAGAAAGGTTCAAACAGCATAAGACCACACAAAAAAACGTCAATAATCAGACCAACTTTTCACATTTTACAGTCATGTCAAACTCAAAAGTACTGAGAAGCAAAATTGAGTGATTTACTTTTTCTTCTCTGCCTATAGCAGGCCCATGCAATCTCTACTCAAAGATGGCACCAAAGTTATTAATACAATGACAAATCTAGTTGGCAGTCTTTTGTTTCAGCTCATTTTTCCCTTCAAAAAAGCCCATGTTGCATTTTAATTTCATAGCTGTGATATTTATGTCATTTGAACTTTCTTGATTTCACAATCATGTCGTGAAATTTGTTTTTTCTTTATGTTTTCAGAGCCTAAAGTTGATTGTTTCCTTAGAATAGGAATTGTTTGTCTTGTTACTATTCATATTTTTAATCTTTTCTATACAGATACTAAAAGAGTCAGAAGATATTTAAATAAGAGCAGTTGTATTTATGTCCCATGGTTTTAAGCCAATCTCATTTAGAGCTTAGTCAGGGACTGTGAGTTTAGTGATCCTACAGCTGGAAAGGATCATCATGATCACGCAAGCTGACCAGGCCAAAGTTTTTCCCTAAACTAATTCTAGACAATGTATTATTTAAATAATAAACAAAAAGAATCTGGTCTTGATTAAGATCTTCCAGACAGAAGGAAAAAAAAAAAAAACACAACCCTTCTCATAGACCACTGCAAATTGTTTCAATGATTAACTATCTTCATAAAAACAACAACAAAAAAAATGCCTCCATAGTTCAACTGAGTCCAATTTCATTTTTTAAAATGGTGGCAACCAGATTTACATTTTATTAGAAATCAACTACTTAATCATCTAATTATCTTTCGTCTAAGTTACAATAACTGAGCTCTAGAAGTCTTTTGGACTAAGGCATGTTCTTCAACTCGGTGGTGAGTCCTCTGACTATCCTCCTAACACAAACCAAAATACAAAAAAAAAAAAAAAAAAAAAAAAAAAAGCAACAAAGTTTAGAATTAGCTGACAAATACAAAACTCATTTTTCTAGGCTGCTTTGAGAGTCCTGTGTTTAAAAATTCAAGGGTCACACTGCTTTAAACTATAAGCTTTGGCTGTGGTTTTGCCTATTAATTACATAAAATGTAACATAACTTGGAAACAAACAACAGACATTTTCTAGAGTAATAGATATTCAGATACGTACTTGTAAACCTAAGAATATCTACCTCCTGTACCCTACAGCTAGGATTTGATTAAATTTTTATCATACCACTGCATTACAAAACTTGAGAAATGGACAATGAAAAATGTAAGTAGAAGCCCTCTTCTTCATAGCAAGGCCAACATTTCCAGACATCTTCAGTCTCCAAACTGGGACCATCATGTCCATACATATGGAAAATGTCAGCAAGAAACCAGATTTCAGCAGTTGGAATACATTTAAATGATAAAAAAATGTGTTTCTGCAGCTGCTTAAAGTAACGATTATGGCTGGTTTGAATTAGATGAAGTGAAAACAGGAATCATCACAGAGTTCTATCTCCCACATCTCTGAAGGCAGCCCCTACATTAGAGGCCAAAACAAGATGCAACAAGCCCTTTGACTTTGCCCTTATCTGCAATTAATCAGCATACAAAAATGGATTTTACACATAGCATCAGCTAGTTTGCTTCTCCAGAGCATGACTGCGTGTATATATATATATATATATATATATACATATCTATATATAGATATATATATGTATATACACACATAACGGTTGCAAAGGGGTATATAATATCTTTTTTTTTTTTTTTCCTTTTTGATTTTGTTTAGTAAGGATGTTAATACATATAAATAAAAATTCTAGAATGGATTAATTTATAGACAACCTCTATTAAGCTCATAATAGAGTTTTCACAACACAAACAACTTGGTAGTTTTAGAACCTTTAAACGTTTTCTAAATCTAAAAATATTCCATATTAATCATTTCATAGATTTTCTAAAGCTCACTAGGAAGCTTTGTTATTGCTTTGTTATTTGGGAATCTCTACTTTAAGGCATTCTTTTGAAGACTTGCACAATTTTTGGCTTGTTTGAGATTCATAATTTAGAAGACAAACTGCCATTTTAATCACTTCTGCAAGCCCAACCTGTCTAACTACTACTCATTCCATTTCTGATACACAGTGTCCTTGCAGAAATTAATACAATTGCTAGCCTGGACTGAATTACAATGAAAACATTTAATATATTTTTAGCTGTATTTTATCATAGTTAAAAGAAGGAAGAGGAACCAGATAATGAGATTAGGCAGCTCTCTACTGACTAATGACAAATACTCTGCAGACATGATTTAGAAACATCTGTGCTTCACTTTTTCTTTATTATTATTGTGTGCATTGCAAAAAATAGACAAGTGCTGCTTAAGTGCCATAAAATTACAACATTTTGTTTCCTGATCTGAAGGAAGTGGCAAAAGGAAAATGAGCACACATGTAACTGAGTTCAATTTCTTTTCCCAATTTCAGGCCTAAGTCCATCATTCCTTAAAACCATCGAAAGCAGTTTTTTGTTAGTACCATGTACAATACAGCACCTATGACAAGTAACCAAAGTAGCAGAAATTTCAGCATAGCTTATTATCCCTATATAAATATAAATATAAATATATAAATATGAACTAAAAACTCACATCAACTACTGTATACAGTCAAATGCACACATAATTATTCCCACTTGCTTGAAAGCAAAATGCTAAAAAGACAACCTAGCTCATATGAAAGAGAATGCAACTGGTAAGCATGGATGTAAGAACCACTCAACTGATTTGAAGAAACTGAAAAGTAATTTCTAATTAACATTCTGCCATATTGTATGGGAGAATTCATGCGAGTCTAATATACAAACTCTTGGCCATATTAAATTGCTAATGACTTTGACAGTTTTGTAAAATATTTTGTTCCGTGGCATGCTTTTAATATTATTCTGCTAAGATTTCAGAACAACTGTAAAGCATAAAATGAACACAATACACTGCCCATTAAAAGTTTCAGTTTATAAGAAAAAAAGTTCCTAATTCATGGTTAGCCATAGGAACGATAAAATAAAACAACTCTTATCTTACCTTTATTATACATATTGGTTGGTACTTGAACGTCACTCAGACTGATATTTACAGGCAAGTTATTGAAGTGGTCATTTGGCACTAGAATGAACTCCTTTCCCAGCTCCAGATAGTTCCCTTCTTCATCTCTTTCATTTATAAGCACAGCATTGAAGTACTCATACTGCAACAGAAACCCATATTCAGTATTCTGAATTTGCAATCAATACAAAAATATAAGGAAGCTCAAATACTTTAATCAGTGGATTAACGCATACATTAATGTTTAAGCATATCTCTATTTAGAATTGAAAACCAAGATATTTTTATTACCTCTCAGTCTCTCTATACTCCTCATACAGGTATATTTCTGAAACCAATTAGAGATTTATCAATGCATCTCACAGAAGCCTCATGATTACCTTAGATTTCTGCCTGCCCTGAAAACGTTATAAGCAGCCCAATTAACACTTTGAACATAGATGATGCATGCACTTTTTTAACACAAAGAATTCTACACTTAAATCATTCGCTGGATAGCTATCTAACTGTTCAGCTTATTTTCATCATTTCAAGAACTGCTATCAAAACAGAACCTGGGCCTTGACAGGCTAAAAGCATTTCTACTTCACAAGAATATTAACGAAACCAGTGATAACAAATTTCCATAGGCCTTTGTCTCCTCAAACTGTTGCTGCTTACCCAATGTGTACTGACTGATGTTTCCTAATGGAAAACATTCACTCTGTGCTGAACCTTACATATGCGCATCACTGTAGGTTTTGTAAAGTCATGCATACTCTAACATGGGTGCATAAACTTAGCAGTGTCTTATTTTGAACACGAAATTATTGACTATTTACAGATTTCTGGAGAGTATTTGGCCTATTTTGTACTCAACTATAACTAGATAAGCAAAAGCAATTTAGATAAAATTATTGATTTTTTTATGACCTAGATTTACAAAAATTCTATCAAGCTTTGAAGGCAACAAATAAAGAGTACTTTTTAACCTCCCAAATGTCCTTAAACCACTAGGCAACAGTTCTCATGATCTATTTCTTAATTGAAACAGACCAAAGGACAGCGTCTTTGAAGAATCTCATTAACTTAAATCCCAGTGTCTGCCTTAACTACCCATTTGACTGGAAATCAAAGTAAATAATATAAAATCATAGATTGCACATAACCTACAAAACTTTTACAAGGATAAATATACAACACCATTTACAAGGCTAGAACAGACCAGCAAGTACAAAAACTTCAAAGGCGTTTCATGAGCACTGCTTCTCAGCGTGATATGCAACTCATTGTACTGAACAAAAATTACGAAAAATCCTAAAAATCAGTATGTGTCCATTAAATACGTGGAGACTTTTATGGCAAAATTTCCATATCTCTTTCAGTTTTATCTTCAGTGTTCAATATATAGAATCATAGAATTGCTCAGGTTGGAAAAGATGTTAAAGATCATTAAGTCCAACTGCAACCTAACCACACTAGCCTAACTCTTACAACCCTCCGCTAAATCACTGATTAGTCCCTGAGCACCACATCCAAATGGTTTTCAAACACATCCAGGGACATAGTTGGTACTTCAGATGAAAGCAGAATAAAAAAAGAAATCCTATAGCTAGATATTAAGTGCCTGTGAAAGAGAAATATACAGACAAGCTTAATATTCCCCCATCTCTAATCATATAAAGTGGACAAAACGTATCAATATTTGAAAATCAATCTTAATGAAAAAAAAATCTGTCACGATTAAATTTATTTTACTTCAAGTGCTTTATTGATGAACCAAATAATAATCTGCTGCATATATGCCATAAATATATACAACTACTGAAACTTAAATTCCTGGGAGGGGAACACCAGAAAAATTTAGTTTCAGTATTTTGTTTATTTGTTATTACTGTTGTTGCCCTGTTCTTGCCCCTGCCCTGCAATTCTCGAAGTACTGATAAAGAAAAGACTGCAAATATAATTTGCTTAAAGCTGTCTTTTCATTAACTTTGGGAATTAATGCATTCATTATGAGAATTATCCCAAACCCACTTAACATCACTGGGAAGATATCACATTTGTGCATTTAGTTCTTCCCACAACAAAAGGATGAAGAAATACGATAGTGTACAAGAAATACAGTTCTTACTCTGCCAGGGAGAAGCCTTCTCCACCTATGTTTCCTACCCAAGTGTACCAGGGATGATTAAACCACACTGTATGCATGCTTCCCACATGTGACAGGAGCTGTATCAATTTCTCTTTCTGCAAAAGCCAGAGACAGCTAGCAGAAGACTTGAAAGCCCAATTCAGATTTCCAATCTCAGTAGGAAATAGAATATTAGTTCAACATTAAGCCAGGCACTAATGTCTGCTATAAAAAAAAACCAACAACAATCACACACAAAGCAAAGAAAGTAAGCCGCATAGCTTTTCCGTATTGTAGTAGATTGTACAGTAAGTCTGAAAAAAACCTGGCACAGAGAGTAAAGTGATAAACAGAATTTCAAATAAGAATGTCAGAGTACATTTTACATGCAAAGCATAGCAATAATCTCTTAAAGAACATTATTTCCTTGCATTCCATTGGTTATTTCCTTTTCCAAAGGAATTAATTAGTAGACATTTTCCTTCATCATGTTCTATAAGTGGCAAGGCTAACCAAGTATTAAAGATCATTATATTTTAAATAAATCATATAAATCATTTCACAATTAAGACTATTCAGAATTGATTGTTAATTTAATTGATACAGTATTCACCGACCTTTTGGTCCAAAACTGTATTATCTTTTTTCAACTTTATAACCACATATAGAATTATATTATCTGAGTTTTTAAAATAAATCATAGCACAAAATCATCCTAATTTTATAACAGACAAAGGATGACAAACAAGGAGAATATTATAATCCCCTTCCCTCCTTTTTGCCCAAAATATAACAAATTTCAGACAGTCCTTAAAGTTCTGAAACACTCGGTAATATACACAACTAAAAAATACCTCTTGAAAAAAGTTCAGTGTGTAGGCAGAGCTCTTACACAGTGCCTTGTAGTGCATGTTTTGCTTCCAAGGAAATTATTGACTGTGACAGCTGAAAGGCAGTAGAAGGAAAATTAAAAATAAAAATTGGAGAAAAAGTAGTGAAGCAAATCCATCCGGCAGTCTGACACCGCATTTAAGATAATGCCCAAGGGAAAGAGGATAAAGTCCTGTTTGCTGACAACACAAATACTCTACCTGCTAAGCTCTAAAAGAAAATGACTTCAATTTAATCTTGTCAATTGAGGTCAATCTTTGATGTAACCTTAACTCAGTGAGTTCTGAGTGTGCACAGTATTACATGCCAAGAAGATATTAGTCTAATAAATAACAAAACAATTATCTAGGTTAGGAGCACATCCTGGCTTTGCTGTGACTTGGCCAGCAGATGAGCTTACGCTGACTGAATGCACGGACTTGTGTGGTGAGCAGTGAACTGAAGAAAAAGCTCTCGAAGAAAATTTCATTCACATAATATAGCACACACGCCTCAAGCTCTGAATATGAACACACATATATTCAAACTTGCACTTAAGCAGGCACACTGGATTCCGTTGTTCTGTTTATTTTTATAAGCACTGTCCTTGACAGCATCGTCATCACTCTGAATGTTTTGTCAAACATTTTAAAATCCCCTGATAGAGTAATTGAACAAGACTTAGATCAAGGCTGTAAAATTAGGGAGAACTGGGAATTTCAGTTCCCATGTGCCACTATTCTTTTACCCTTGTGAAGAAAGTCTCCCCATGCAAGCCAATCTGCACTGATCACTAGTGCTCACCAGTGCTCAAAGCTCTTCCTTAGCAAAGGGCTGGGTATGTTTGAGAGACATCACAAAGAATCATATTGCTGACACAGACAGCAGAACACTGGCTGCTCTGATATAGTGAAATAATAATAGGAGGCAGACACCTGGGGGACTCTTAGGAAGTCAATCAGAAAATTATTTTACAGGTTCATTCAGAATTACTGGAAAAGGCAAGCTTTGTTTTAAATCACCATGTGACAGCCACAATACAAAGATATGTGCAGCCTGTTTTCTGAGGATAGCTGTCACAGACTCAGGATAAGGATGATAAAAATTAACTCCTGCAAAAGCTATCAGAAGTGAAAGCGCAATAGTTTCAGCAAGCAAAGAGAACCTCAGGGTTAGGCTGCAGGGAAGAATTGATCACTAAAGCAAAAGCAAACTTGGCAGTTGCTTCAGTTTAGCCACTTAGTTCAGCCTAATAACTAAATAAGCACCTTGATTGTAATGGATATTTTGCTGAGACAATACGTCAGTAATTTAAGTATAGTACCAAAAAACCAATATATTGTCATGCATAAATGTAGATCTGTACAAACTTTTAAAAGACTGACGTTCCCTACTTCCAATTATGTTTATCTTATTGTAAATCCCTACCTCATGATGCTTGTGTTATTAACTGAACACTTTTTAAGATTGTACAGAGGATATATTTCTTCAAATTTAAATCTTTACTGTTTCATTTAAAAGACACATTATGATGCAAATTGCCTTTGTGAATCAGAGACTACCTGCCACATAATAATAAACACTTTTCAGATGGTTCTCTTTCTAACAGGAAAATGAATTTGCTTCTATTGGTATGAAACAATGCACTTTACAATTTTAGATTGATGTATTTTTTCCTATAATACAGAAATTATTATTGCAAGACAGCATAAAATCCTCTGTTCACAGAGCAGGGAGGAAGATTTGAGAATGCTACGAGAAATGATTTGCACCGATGGTTCAGAACTATAGCAATATTGGGGTTATGCTAATAATTTTCAACTATGCAAGAATCCTTTTTACAACATTTCTGCAAACATATCATTCAGGTAAAGGCAAAGATGGTGGTCTCTAGAAGATACTAAATCAAGGAACAGTTATGGCATTTGTGTGAGCCTCAAATAGCAGAGAAAGTGAAAAAGGAACAAATGTCAAGGAAACTGAAGAGGAAAATTGGCATTAAATGGCACAGACATTTGAATATCTATGAGACTTTCAACACAACAGGTACTATCATAAGTCGAAAGGACGAAAGATTCCTTTTCTCAAGACTGACAAGCAGAAGCTCTCTCTGGAAGCACAGATGTGCAAAAACAAAAAATACAAAATGAAGTGAGTCA